ATGGATCTCGGCAGCATCTACCGCACTGATAGATGCTCGAAAACTCATCCCACCTGGCTCTGAACATAACGAAGAGCGGAGTCAGCTTAAGCGAAGGCAATGATCGTGAACAGTGGTGGGTAGCGAAAGCAAGAGAAATGGAAAAGGCAGCGGCAATAGGTAACAGCAGACAGCTATTCAGACTTATTAAAGAAACCGGCATTAGGAACCCCACTATTAGCGAAACTATCTCAGACAAAGATGGGCATATCATTCATTCTCAATCCAGGAGATTGGATCGATGGGCATAACACTTTAGGGATCAGTTCAACTGGCTTTCAGCCACACTTCAGTTACCCACGATCCCCAGTCGTCCTGAATGGCAAATTGAGGTAAGTCCTCCAACTCTACGAGGTTGAAAAAGCTGTAGGAGATCTAAAGCGAGGGAGAGCCGCAGGCCCTGACAGGTTTACCCCTGAGATTTTTAAGGATGGTAGTCCAGTACTAGCAACGAGATTGACTGAGGTCTTAGGTAGAATCTGGGAACTGGACGTAATTCCATCTGACTGGTCCCAATCACTGATTGTGCCAGTCTATAAAAAAGGACAAGAGTCCTCCTGTTTAACCTCCTTGTTTAACTTTGTCGTTGACATGCTTTTAGAGACATAACTTTCATCATCTCAATCTCCTGGAGTTGAACTTTTACCGGGAGGCTCACTTGTTGACTTAGAATACGCCGACGACATAGTTTTATTTGGTGAAGACGATGACAAAATGCTGTCTTCTGACTACTATAAGCAACTATGCAGGCATGTTCGGAATGCGATTCTCTCCCTCGAAGTGCAAAATGTTACTTCAGGATTGGGTTGCAGCGACACCTGAACTAATGATAGGGAGTGAAGTAATTGAGCGTGTTGACCGCTTCACTTATCTTGGGAGTCTCATCAGCCCTTGTGGTCTGGTGTGTGACGAAATCTCAGCACGGATACAGAAGGCTCGTCTAGCTTTCGCCAACTTGCGCCATTTATGGCGTAGGCGAGATATCCGTCTAGTAACAAAAGGACGGGTTTACTGTGCAGCAGTCCGTTCCGTCCTACTTTATGGCAGTGAAACATGGCCGATAAGAGTAGAGGGTAGTCGTAGGCTACTATTATTCGTTCGTAGGTGTCTTCGACGCATTGCTCGTATATCCTGGGACCACCGGGTAAGTAATGCAGTTGTTAGAAAACGGGTACTAGGTAAGGATGGCAAATCGATTGATGAAGTAGTGAAACTTCATCAGTTGAGATGGCTGGGACATGTGTTACGTATGCCCAACAACGGACTGCCCCGATGTCCAATGCTTTATGGTGTAGGAGCAGGTTGGAAGAAAGCTAGGGGCGGCCAGACCAAAACATGGCATAAATCCATGAAGTCGCTGACAAGTGGACTGGGCCATTTTGGTAGGTGTAGACTACCTGGTTGGGATTCGCGAGATGATAGTAACGGATGGTTAGAGACCTTGAATGACATTTATTATTTTATTATTTATTTAAACACATATATATTGGTACAAAAGGGCACCAGGTACATATGCGCCACACAAAATAATGAAAGTAGGTAGATAAAGGATGAAAAGATAAGGCGGGCTGAAATGTACAACCAGAAGATTCTTTCAGTTAGGAAAGTTAGAACCATTCTTTATGTAGAAAGTAAAAGAAGGTTGCAGCAGGATCGCCACTGGCTTCTATTATGAGCCATATCCGATAACGTCTCTAGCCACTGTGTTGCACTATCTCTCGGACCCCAACCAGGGAGTCGTGAAGGACCAACGGAAGCTAGCCCTTTGCAGCTCTCTTTCATGCCACGACACCATGTCATACACTGACCTCCTCTCCGCTTTCTCCAACCAGTCCCAGGGTCGGCAAATAATGCACGACGCGGAAGTCTCTGGGACGACATTCGTAAAACATGTCCGAGCCACCGAAGTCGGTGTTTCAAGATGGTGACACCAATTGAATTATCGTCTCTGCGCCCGAACACACGATGCCGAACCTCTGCATTACTAACATGGTGTTGCCACTGGATGTCAGCAATCCTTCGGAGACAACGATGATCGAACACAGAGAGACGTCTAACATCCTCAACTCGGAGAGGCCAGGTTTCACAAGCATAGAGCAAAACTGCTCTCACCGACGCGTTGTAGATCCGACCTTTTACAGCCAGACTAACATCACGAAGGCGCCAAAGATGGCCCAGATTGGCATAAGCCGCTCTGGCTTTCATTATACGTGCATCAATCTCATCACTCACGCCACCACCAGCACTTATATAGCTACCTAGATACACGAACTTCTCAACTACTTCGATCTCCTCACCATCCAGGGTGAGTACAGGATGAGAATCCTGCCAGTCTTGTAGAAGTACTTTGCACTTGGAGGGTGCAAAGCACATGCCGTACCTGCGGACACTGATTGCCAACTGATTAAGTGCTGATTGCATGCCTTGGGCATTATCGCACAGTAAGACAATATCATCCGCATACTCAAGGTCGAGAAGTCGTTCTCCAGGCAACATATCCACACCGCCATTACTTACATCCATCAGAGCTGTTTCTAGGATGTCGTCGATGGCAAAGTTGAAGAGGAATGGGGAGATCGGGCAACCCTGCCTAACCCCACTGCTCGAATGGAACAAGGGAGAAAGGTTGTTGTATGCCCTCACTCTGCCTGAGGTGTTCGTATACAGGGCCTTTAAGATGTTAATGAACTTCTCAGGCACACCGTTCTTCAATAGACAATCCCAGAGAACAGTCCTGTCCAACGAATCGAAGGCCGCCCTGATATCAAGAAACACTACGATTGTTGGCCTGCGATAAGTATGACGGTGTTCTAACATTTGGCGGAGGGTGAAGATGTGATCAATGCATCCTCGACCAGAACGAAAACCAGCCTGCTCCTCGCGAGTCAATCGTTCTCGGGTTTTAAACAACCTACGAAGAATGATAGAAGCCAATAGTTTGGACGCGATCGAAAGTAGACTTATCCCCCGATAGTTGCTACAGGAACAACGTGAACCCTCTTTAAAGATAGGGACGACTATTGACTCATTCCAAGATGTTGGAACACTTTCTTGCTCCCAGACCTTTCCAAACAACGCAGTCAGTTCCTTAGCCAGAAAGTCACCACCATCTTTAAAAAGAGCCGGAGGTAAGTCATCTGGGCCAGGTGATTTGTAGCGCTTCAAGAGTTGGAGTTCCTTGCGGACTTCCGCCTCGTTTGGTGGAACAGTCGTCACCGGCCATGGGGGGCAGGACAAGCTGGTTGATGTTGCCGGAGCAGCAGGCCAGTTGAACTGCCCTTCGAAAAATTCCGCCCATCGTCCAAGACGTCGAGAGATGTTAGTGATTGGCATCCCGTCATCCCCGTAGATTGTTTCACTCACACCAGACTTCTTGCTGCCAGTGGCTCGGATGAGTTGGAAGAGCTTCCGGCAGTTACCAGATGCAGCTGCTGCTTCCATCTCATTAGCACGCTCCGACCACCAGGCTTCCCGGTCCTTACACAAGCTTTGCCCGATTTCATTACGTAACAGCCTTCGTTTGTGGTCAAACTCACGGTCACCCGGAGTAGACCGACGGGCTTCCATCAGTTGTAAGGAGCCAGAAGAAACCCAGTGCTTGTAAGCGGGACGTTTCGCGAAGCCGCAAGCGGCTTTACTCGCCATTTCCATGGCGTCGTGAAGATGCAACCAATGCTCGTCTATACTTTTCGGTGGGGTGGTAGCTAGCCTAGAGGCTAGCTCAGCTCGATACTTACTTGCAACAGAAGTTGCAGCCAGTTTACTAATATCAATCCGTTGGTGGTGGTCAATCCTTCGGCCACTGAAAAGTAAGGTGAGATTGGCGCAGACCAGGGCATGATCAGACTCCAGATAGGTACTCCAAAAGGAGCGGCAGTCTTGTACACAACCACGCCAGCGGTAGCTGATCGCGACGTGATCAATCTGAGTCCAGGCTTGGGATGCAGAGGGAGGACGCCAGGTGGCACACCGGCGATGACTGTGCCGGAAGTTAGTGCTAGCCAGAAACAGGTTGTGGTCTGTGCACAGTTGCAGCAAACGGTCCCCGTTATCTGTCCGGCGACCAACAAGTCCCCATCGGCCACCTAGACGACTCTCTTCTGTGCCTAGACGCCCGACCTGTGCATTCAAGTCTCCGGCTAGTACTACAATATCTGTCGAACGCGCTTTCTGGAGAAGAACTGTTAACTGATGGTAAAACTCATCCTTGATTGCATCCGGGCTGCAATCTGTCGGGGCATAGGCGGAGATGACGAAAAGACACCGTTTCTCACGCCGATTTCTTCTCACTTTGATGGAACTTTCTAATCTAACAGCACATAACCGACTGTTAATGGGGATCCAATCGATTAGTGCTGCCTCAGCTCTAGCGCTTAGTGCGACACCAACGCCAGCAAGACCAGACGAAGATGCCACAGGGTCCCCGGATAAGCGCACGTGGAACAAGCTTTTCGAGGCGACAGATGGAGAGCGGATTTGTAGTACTTCACTAGAGTCTTGAATACGGGTCTCGGATAGACAACAAACGTCAACATTAAGACCTTCCAAAGACATAGCCAGCCCTATCTGTTGTCTGATCTGCATTAGTGTGCGAACGTTGAAGGAAGCCAGCTTGAACGGCGTACGTGGTTTCAGAAAGACTGCCTCAGTATTCATAATCGGTGGAAGCATTCACTTTCAACCAGACAGTGACTGGAGATCGTTTAGATAGGACAGATTTTCCACCAAGAGCGAGCTGCTGCATAAGTTGAAGAGTAAGGTTACACAAATTGGGGATAAAAGGGGGTGAATTAGCGATATGGTAAGTAATAATAATAATAATAATAATAATAATAATAATAATAATAATAATAATAATAAAGGTAATAATAATAATAATGTTAATTGTCTTGCTTTTAGTATGACCAGGGATATCGTCAATAGAGTTCATAATTTCATTCATTTGTTTGTGTGTGGGCTGTGATACTGCCCGGGTGCCCAAACCGAAGCAGGTGGTTTTCTTAGGGGACCACACCCCGAGCCTTTGACCTAAAGGTCTGATCCACAAGGCAGTGGAGCATCGTGAAGAGATGCAGTCCCATGGTTGCCGTTGACCAACAGCAGGTTCTTCCGCCATTCGTTCCATCAGGATACTGGAGCCCATGTGCACCATTGGTTTGGAATCAGGGTTTTCCAACTCCCCTAGGTGGACCCTCCGTGTCCACCAATCCGGTTATAGCGCCGGACATTCGCTTTTCGTCCTCTCACTTTCGTAAACAACACCCCCGCCACGAGAAGGCAGTGAGTAGGACTTCCCTGGCAGAGGCTATATATTCGCTGGCCATGTGAGAGCATTTCGAGAGGGAAAGTAGACTCTCCCCACTCTCGGCCGTACCAGGGCATTTGGGGGCTCAAAATTGTTTGCAATGGCGAAGGTGCATCCACTTTTTGTGTTCTCCCAAATTCTAATCTTCTGAATTCTTCATGTCCGTATCCTTTTTCTCTTTCCTAATTTATTTCGCCGTATTATACTCCTTTAATAACATATTCAATCCCTTATCTTTCACATAATACTTATACTCTTACGACTTCTACCACTATGGAATTTGAATCGACAACTTCATCTCTGTGCTAATGTGGTATGGCAACTCGAACTGATGTACGTACGTACGAAGTTCTACGTTGTAACTGACTGACTGAGTCACTGAGTTGACCATTTCCACTACTCCAGTTCATGTCCATTTCTTCTCGTCTCTTGTCTTTCGCTTACATTATAGAACGTCTTAAATATATGTTTCTCAATTAATTTCGCATTCGGTCTTCGTTGTTATTAAAGGAATACTTCGACAAAACGTATATACAAAGCAAATTGGCTATGTTTCACCAACATCAATATTGTTCGATCACATGTACTCAGATTGCTGGCCTACAAAACTACCTTGCTGAGGATTACTGTGACCAACAGTTGTGAACGTTGGATGACATGGCTCAGAATCGTTCTCACTGGCGTAGATTCATTCATCACCTTGTCTTCATTTAAGTCCTAATCTTCGATATTAGTTGATAAATTTTATTTCTCGAATTCGTCCTATCCTTTTAAACCGTATTCCTTAATGCTTGCCTGTTCCCAATACCACTAGTATTACAATTATTTTGGCTCCTTTGCTATTTATCTTGTTAATTTAATCCTGCTTTAGTGATACGGAATGACAACACATTTATGTCAAACTGTATGTTGATTATGAATGGTTGACTAAATGACGCTTCGAAATAACTCCTAATAAATTTTTATCTACTTTCTTGTTACTTCTTATTTCCAGATTCGAACGTGAGGAAATTTACCATACCATCCACATAAAGAAGGTTGATAGGGAAAATTCTCATTTGGTATCTGTTACTTTTTTCTTCTTAAAACCTGTGTGATTGAGACGTAATGTAGCTTTTATAGTTGATGTTTTTCATGAAATATCCAAAAATCTAGTTTAAAGGTATTCACTTATGTGACATCCTTCTACCTATTCGCAACTTGTATGAGCTTGGTGCCATCTGGAGTTGTGTTGGATATTAATTATTAAATTTTTTCAGTATTACGATAATGAAATATCAATAACCTAGAGCATATAATTCTTACTTGGGATTTAAAACTCTTGATTGTAACAGTTCACGTGAGTAACAATGATTTGGTCTTGGAATTCGATTGCGAAATTACTTGTCCCTTGTGAAGTTCTACTTGCTACTAAACTAATTTTTTGTTTATTATCATTTCCAAAGTGTCTTTTTTCTTACAGTGTCACTTTGTCTTTTGTGATTGGATGCATATTTTCATCTCCAATAACAGTATTTTCATTTTTCCTTGTAATGAATTGGTTATCTTATTACTTTTACTTATTAGTTTTTATAACCATTTCTAGTCGATCAATCTACTCAGATATTTGTAAGTTAATTTACTTGGGAATAACTTGTAAAGTCCCGTTTACATTGAGTAACATCGAGTTGTTTATTTATATATATACAAGTACGCTTTACTTTTTGGGGTTGTTAAGTGAAAAAGAATCCGTTTTCGGAGTTATTTGTTGCTTTTTGATTTTCTTTTCTCTGTGTCTCTATCGTTGCGTCCTTTCCTGGAAGGTATTACGTTTGTCCAACAACCATTTTCTACGCCTTTTGTTAGATGCACGTCTGCCCGCATGCTTATCTTTGTACGGTTTGTATATTACTTGGCTTCTCAGTGTATGTTTTTATCTAGGTTCACATATTTTTACAAGAACGTTCATTTCTGTTCCTAATACTATCCTTTGTACTGGTATTTTTCTCCTACATGTCCATGTTAGTTTGATCTTGGCTTCTATTAAGCTTTCAATCTTACCCGTCAAAAGTTGCAATTTGTACAGAGTGATTTCTACTTCATTTTTATCTATGGAAGTAGTTAGTTTTCTTCTTATTTTATCTTATTCTGCGTGGAAATTCTATCTAAGCGAGTCATCTCTTATGCACCTAGGATACGCTGAAATATCGAGTCATGTCATTTTCCTAACTGTTATATTTTGTATTCTATATGTCTATGAAAATTTGTTGCCGTCATTAAAGTTGGAATTATTTTCTATGGACAGAATTACTATTTTACCTTCTGATTCTTGTAGTCTGTGCACTTTACCATTGTTTCAACCTAGTATCTTGACATCAGATGTTACTCTCAACTTCAGTGGCGAATGCCAGCACTTAATGCATATGTCATGTGCACAAATTTCGGAATCGATCTCATTTCCTTGCTTGCGATGTTCTGCTGAATCTTTCATCTGTGTACAGGGTAAGATTTATATATTATCTTTTGTGTTAGTATTAAACCTCATGTTCATTTTATATATTATCATACTTAATTTGTATACATTTCTAATAAAAGTGTATATTGAAGTTAAGTCTGTCAGTCATCATCAACATAGAGCTTGTAATTAAGCCCGTTAATCGAAATTGCCATGGCATATAAGCAATGCAAGATGCAATCGATATGACGAATGGTAAACAAGTCGAGGATAACTAAACGTAAGAATTGTAGTTAAAAAAGGAGTAAAAATTATGGGATAATATTGAGACTTAAGCTCTAAACAAGAATAAAGAATGAGTGAATATACCACTGTGACCTATTTTGATCTGTCACCTAAATTTTCCAGTCGTTGATCAAACTTGTCATGCAGATCTCATATATTTGTATTCAATCGACAGTCAAAAGTTATCAATATTAAAATTGATTTGATGAAATAAAATATCATCTTTTCAATGAACGACAACCAAATTAACTTTCGATTTATCATCTATAAACTTCATAATTCTCTGCTATCCAAATGAGTTTTTTATTCCTACAAATACAAATAATATTTGAGGGTATATGGTTAATCACCAATAAATTTTTCATCTTTGTCTTTTGATTTACAGATACCAATAATAATTCGGTGATTTTCAATGAATTACACTCTAGCTATGCTAACTCTGAAGTATCTAATACTTCAAATTCACTAGAAGAATCTTCATCAAGCTCTTCCATTTATGATGATAAAGATGTAGATTTAAGCGTTTACTTAAATTCGGATCAATTCAATAAAAGCAATATAAGCCGAACATTACGCAGACTGGATGGATCCAGTTCTTCTTTGTTTTCTGTTGATGACGATGTTGACAACGACGTTTTATCAACAGATAGTGCTGAATGGAATTATGATAATCCTAGTTACGAATCAGATATAAGCAGCTTTTGAAAACAAAACATAATATTCAGCATTATCCACTTATTTATTGGCTTTTAAAACTAATATTTTTACATCATTTTTTTCTGGGAAACAAGATGATATCACACCTAATCTTTGCATTTGTACTTGCTAAGAAACGTTTATACTATATTTTACAAACCATCATATTTCTACTTACAAATTTGTATTATGACTACTTTCCTCTTTTTCATGTTTGACAACATCTATTACAAAATAATTCAACTATCATGTGATTGATATAACTGAAAAGGTTTTCGGTTTTCACTTATTCTTGTTACGATCATACCACAAGAACACTAACTACGGGTTAATATCACCAGTAAGATCAATAGAAGATCAAATTAAATCACGATACTAGATTGCGTGAACTTCTATACACGAAGTCAGACAATGGTCCAAAGCTCCACAGCTTGCAGACTCAAGAAACCTGCAGCATGAAATCGGAACAGAAATACAAGGGAATCCATCTTTTTCATATAACCACAGTCGAGACATATCTATCCTCGCCCAGTAACCAGTCACGGCTCACTACTGCACAACCCGTTAATGATATACATATTTAGTCTACTGTGGAAGAAAAGTGGGTCTAGATCACATTCATCGTTGACAATTTTTGCGACCGACTCATTTTCTCTCAAGACGATACTCTCATCGTAAACGTATTTAAGCTCAAACATTATAAGCAGAGATGGATGAAGGCTAGCAGTGGGATCCAGGACGCGTGTGTCGTCCTGCTTGGAACTCATCAGCTGGATGTTCACTGCAGGACTCAAACCCAGTGCCGTTCGCTTCAAACTCCATCGCTTTATCTACTTAGCTACTGAGTGCAGATGCCCACTAGCGTATGCACTGGAGTGGAGTTTAATTCATCTTTAGTTTGAATCTTCCTATTGACGTTTGGGACTGCAGTTGATCGGTCTCTTAGTGGTATATGTTCATCCTGTACGGATTGCCTTAAGTTACGAGCATTATAGGCGAACGGTACTGGGTTCGAGTCCTGCAGTGAACATTAAATTTAAGATGCAGTTACATTCATCTGATGAGTTCCAAGTAGGACGATATGCGCATCCTGGATTCCATTGCTAACCATCATCTTTCTCTGTTTGCAATGCTTATGGCAATCCGCACAGGACGCCATATGCCAATAAGAGATTGGTCAGTTGCAGTCCTAAACGTCAATGAGAAGTTTCAAACAACCAATACAAGATGAATCAAGCTTAAACATTGTTTGTTCTTTTGATGATCCTAGACGGTTATTATTTCCGAAGACTGGTTGTTTAATATGCCAATGAAATGTACTACTGATCTGGAAAATTAACGTGAGGTCATCGATATTGATTTGAAATACCTTTTGGTTAAATTCAAAGGGATGAGCAAAGTATCACATTGATTGATAGTCAGCTTAAACACATGCATTTTGTAGTGATTAGACTTCAGTACACAGTTCAAGAGATTTCAGACATATTTCTGACAAACAGTTTTGTCAAGGGAATTGCACAAAAAATTATAAGAATTGAAGTCATTCGTTTGTCAAATACAACTTATGCATTGGGCTTTGTGCTAAACTTCGTGCAAAAACAAGTAATATTGCTCAGTTATTTAAACCATAGTAAATGGAGAGATGTTCCAACTTGTAAAATGCTACTTAGAAGTTCAAAACTTAAATCACTAAGATATCAGTTCTATGTTTTTCTGGGGCTCTTTATTAGATTATTCATAGCTTACATCACATTTTGACTTTAGGTATGGAACAACCTAAAGCCATTGGGCACTGGACATTTGTTTTCTCCGAATATGCGGTTTATCAGTACACATTTATTACTTGAGTAGGAAGCGAAAGTCACTCCGTAATGTGTTCTAGGAAATTGAGTAATATTCATAAAACTAATATGTCAATTATGATTGTTGGCTGAATAAATAACTAGGAAGAAGAAATCATATATCGGTTTGAAGTGATATGACTGACGTATAAATGGAATTAATATTTGGTTATAATATTCTTATGACAGAAAAATAGTATTTATTATTGAATCGTGTGATTTCTTAAATCTATATGTAGTCAACCAGTATAACTTTGTGTTCAACTGATTAGGCCTCTACCATGTTAACTGATTTGACAGTTACTTTATAACTATTCTAGAAACACTCCTTTGACTAAATGTCCACAGCATATTTTGGTTGCATTAACATCTTCGTTAATAAATAGTCACAAAAATTGGGTACTTTAACCGATCCAAACTAAAAAAAAGAACAAACGAGCATACAATTTCCAAACATTGAACAATCTGATCATTTATTATTCCTATAAAATAGTCAAAACTCGTTGCATAAAATTCACACACGCACAAAAGTGCATTTAGCCATTTACCCATATCAAAATAGTCTGTCGCACACAGATTTTGTGTAGATTCAATGAAAGTTAAACGTTAACTTCAGCTTGAACAATACACAGAGTGAAAACTGCACTCAATTTACAATTATTCCGACTGAATTTGATAATGAATAAGTATCATCAGTGTTTACGAGTTGGTATTACAACATAGTAACAAAAAGCCATCATAACAGAATAGCATACCAATGTCTAGTGAGCGTGTGTTTTATCCTATTTTTCAATCTTTATTCAATGGATAATTCTGGTATTGTTCCGATTGAGATTTCGAAGTTTATAAGTGTTCAAATGTCAGGAGATTGAGTTACAATAAAAGTTATTTATTTTACAATAACTACAGTTTTATATTGTCATTCGTACTGTAATTTAGTTAATGGCTTCACTGGACGTAATTAATTGCGAAATTCTGATGAAAACATTATAGAGAATTCATATCCTGGTTTGTAAGTGATTACTAGAAATTAACTTAAATTGAGTCACTGGTGTGTGTGTGTGTGTGTGGAAAGAACAAGTTCATTGACAATGGAACGACTTCTAGTATATGGTTCTATAAGTGATTTGATTAGATCTCCTTGTCAATGAGACTTGTTCAGTTAACTGGTTTAACTGTGTTGATTCTCTTTAGTGAATCATCCATTTACATATATGAGACCTGAAGAAACGTCGCCTTCTATTAAAGTGAGTTCAGTTCAAATTGCAGAACCATAGAATATTTACATTCCACGAAACAACTATACGTAAGTTATGCTTTGGTTAAATTCAATTTCTATCTTAGGATTCTCCTAAATGGTGGGTTTGAGTTTGAGAAATATGAAGACATACTTCCATATCTTTATTTTCTGTCTAGTAATTCATACAGTATTGATGGATAGTGTTCATTGTTAAAATTACAAACGTTAAAAATATCCAGCTGACAAGTCCCAAATAGGACAACACGTACATCCTGCATTCCACCACTAGGCACCATCATCTTTGCTCATGCTTGTACTTTAAGTTGGTATCGAGGCGATCCGCGCAGCGTACACATATACCAATAAGTGACTGATCAATTGCAGTCCCAAGTATCAATGAGAAGTTTCTAACAAGCAATACAAAAATGAGTTAAAATATTTGATAGCATGATACTTCTCTCAATGGTACTTCTCTCAATAAATAATTACAATATTAAATTACTGTTATACCCTTTCTTACCGAACTCCATAGGTAAAACCTTGTAAAATAAAAGAGATGCATATATCTGGAGTTTAAGTACTTGAGTGTTATTGACTGCTATTATAACTCACGGTTAAATTAAGGTTCCTCAGGCTTTTAACATCAAGTCTCATCAAACTAAACATCAAGCTAAAATGAAGTTTGAAGTGTCGTTTCATGATTCATAGAAAGTGAGTGAAATTTGGTGTTAATTGAAGCTTAATTTATCGTCAAAATTTATACTACTTATTAGTACAAAAATTAGCTATGTAAAAGTTTCAGTGTATTTTGTAATACTGTCCTTTAATAAATACGTGTATTTTATTTAGGTATAAATATTCTCGACATTAAGTTCGGCTTTGTTTACTGTATTTTGGCCCATTTGAAAGAAATCTCTTTGTTCTTTGTTTAGTATATTCATTTAGTCTTAATACATTTTTCATCTACGTGTTGATTAGAAGTTGTTTGCTTCACGAATTAGTATTAAACGATTATGGCATACTATCAAAAAAAGTACTGACTGAATTCTTCTAATGTTTACGATAAGAACATTTGTTTTTACTCATAATTTTGGACTTATGCATGTTATGGCTTCGAATTTTATGTATGATCCGATTGTATAAGCAACACTACATTGTGGAATGCTTCAGTGTAGAAGAGTAATATGTAATAATTATTCGGTTAATTGTTTTTTTCGGTCGTTTTGTAGTGAACACGAATTCAGGCGAGGAAAACCAATTTCCTGTTTAGTGAAAAATTACGAAGCACTTTGGTAAAATGTGAAAACTATACATTAAATATATTATTTACACATCTTCCTCCAGTTGCTCTTTACATACTTCATGACTCTTTCAATTCTGTTTTTGTTACAATCACTTTCTGTATTTCTTCCTGTTCTCTTCAATTCAATCTTCTGCTTCCAAGCATTTCACTTTTGATTAATGTTACATACTACTTCTATCTGTTAACATAAGTAGCATACACCACAAAACGACTCGTAAGATTTATAAAACCAATCGTCGAATGATACGAACATTGATTTATCATTAACAGTATATGAAAACAAAGAGAATCCAATTTAATTAAATGTCTAAGTAACTAAATAACAAAACAATTAATTGCATATCATTTAAAGTATATTAAATCATGTATATGTTGTTAATTTTATGATTCAAAATGAAATATACACACGTTTGTTTATTCAGTATTTATTACAATGATTATAAGTGCAATTCAAATAGTTTATTGTTCATATTGAATAGTTGAATAGATGGACAATGAACATTGATAAATTCATGAATTAACAGAGTAATTAATTAGAATTTGATTAAACCTATTTTACGATTTGAATAGTTCATGTCATTTATTTTGTTTCTAAGTAATAAAATAGTTTTATGAGAAATTTAATTGATTATAATACTTACACAAAAATTAATTTTCTGATTTTATTATCAAAAGGAGATTTCGTGGAGATTTTAGTAATTTTATATGGTTGAGATTATGAGTCAATTGAAGCTAAACCATCATGGAAAACCTGGAAGCACTGGACGGTTGTTTCGTCCTATTGTGGGACTCCTCAGCACTGAGCATCCACGATCCCGCCTCGCTGGATTCGATTTTATTGTTATGTACACATTAATCTCTTTGAATTTTTATTGTCTGTGACGTGAAAAGTCTACACGGTGGCAGTTATCCACCGAAGACAATTGAAGATTATTGCATAATGTTGCTCACTAATTGAAGTTAGACATTAATACTGTTGAATGCCGGCTTTGTGGTCTTGAGTTTTGAGGTTCCCTCTCAGGACTGAAAGTCATGGGTTCGATACTTGGTTGGAGGGTTGTGGATATGCACTACTGAGGAACCCCATATTAGGTCGAAACGCCCATCCAATGCTCTCAGGTTGTCTAACTTAGGTAGCTTCATGATTCCAATGAAACCCAATAATTTCCACAAATCCATACTGAAATTTCACTCAACATGTAGAACTATGACATGGTGGTAACCAGTTCAACAGGCTCTACGGAAGACTAAATCATTAACCCAGAGATTGATGCGTTTCACGTAACAGGAAATAAATAAAACTAAACAGAAGGAGAAAATAAATACTTCAT